TGGTAACCATTCATGTCGTCTGTGATTGGGTATCCAGCTTGTTGTCCTGCCTCGAGAAACGCATGGTGGAGTGGATTCTCTAGTTTTCCTCTGGTGACACGTATAGGACCTTCCTTACCACGATACTCATTCGATCCTGTAAAAGAAATTCAAAGAAACTTCAACTTCAACCTTATTTCCTTGTGGACTAACATTATGTCTCAAACTCTATTCCTCTCCAAACACATCAGTCATACCTCTCTCAGTTGTTTCTAACTTCTTAAAATATGGCAGACAGTCAGCATACGACCAGCCTTTGGCTCCTTCACGTTCCCATCTGTCATAGTCATAGGCATGTCCTCTGACGTGCACCATTCCATTGATGGACGATGACCCTCCTAACACCCTCCCCCTAGGGCAATACATTATTCTGTTATTCAGATGTTTTTGAGGAATTGTGCTGTAATACCAGTTGTATTTTGTGCCTCCTAATACCAAGGGCAGACCAGCTGGCATCTGAATGGTTACAGCCCATGCATCATTTGGTCCTGCCTCCAGTAATAGAACGCTATTACTAGGATCAGRTGACAGACGATTGGCTAAAACACATCCCGCTGAACCAGCACCACAGATGACGTAATCATGAGTAGATGAGAATGTTGTTATAGATTGGAGATTAGAACCTGAAAATAGGTAGATCTCATTGAACATTGATTCGTTTACCCCCTTCCCTTTCTCCCTTCTACCCCTCCCCCCTCCTCACCTCCCGTTTCCTTTTATAACAATGAAAACATCACGCAACGCTGTAAATCTTACCGGATCGACCGATTAAAATTCCCTTCTAGTTCCAGAAAGGACATTTTAATTAGATTGAATTCTCCTTTTATTAACTGGGAGTTTCAKTTACGATATAAATACTTCAAAAATATCGTGGCCAMTCACTATTTGCGGTGGCAAGCAGCGAGCAAGCACAAAATTGTCTCATAATGGAGCAACATCGGAAGAAAAAAAGGCTGTTTCTATCTAAGAATATATAATACCAAACAAGGACTTGTCTTATGCAGTTTTACCATCATATAATGTATAGCTTTCAAGCTTTACCTTCTTCGCTGCAATAATGAACGAACAATATTCATAAAACAGAAAGTACTTGTATAAATTACATAACCGTGACAAGAAACRATCTTTCTTCACATGCAGACCATATTCATTTTTTCATCCAAGCCAACAGCGTGCTCTCGCATCTAAACTTTTAACTCACAAAAATTTCCGCAGAAAGTTTCCTATTTAAGCTTCATAATTATATAAATATTGTTTCATGTTTGTATAGCGACCTCTAGAGATTTACCTTCGTTATTCAATCTTCTGGGACAAAGACGTCTCGGTATTGTCGTAAAGTGACCATTTGGCAACCGTGTTGTAGAACGAAAAAGTGCCATTTACCAAGGGCGGAGAACACAGTTTTTTTTTACGATAAAGGAGGTTATAGAAAAGAGAACGTTGTTTCACCCTTCGACGGCATGGACATTCTGTTGCGTTACATCGTGACAAGGAGCCACAGGAAGCCCAAATGAACATTGCGAATGATTAACTTCAAAACGTTAAGTTGCAGTTAAAGTCTTTGTGCACTGACCTTGGTCGTCATTGAATTTTATTCTCCACCCAGTGAAAAATCCTGTACCCGCCCCTGACAGATGGTCTGGCGAAAATATGAATTTTGTTTTATGTTTATCAGATGTTTATCAAGTCGAATTCATATCCCCACCCCCCACAAGAACAAATAAACAACGAGTCTCTACGTCAAAGTCACGCGATATCCTCCTTCATTGCTGTAGTAAWGACAAACCAATCAAAACAACTCTTCTTCGACGGAGCAAGATTCGTATAAAAATACAGAGATAAAAGTCGGAATCTCATTGACACAGGAATGTCACTGTATACGGTAAGATTTTCGCCTGGAGTARGTAGCCTCGGAGCACGACTTCGATGTCTTAATCAGTGTTTAGGACCTGCAAGCAAAGGTAATTAACATACTTTTAATTTTCTTGAATAACTTTAGCTATGCTCAAGTAATACACTTCAATATAGCTCCGGCCAAACGTTAATACTTGATAACTATCATTCTCAAAACTTATTGGATCCATTTAATTAAGGCATAGTTGGATCGTCCAAATTCTTTGGTTGCCATATACCTCTAGACATTCAGTCCAAAAGCACAATGTGGCCATATGGTACTATTTTGTGATACCCAGGCTGTATGTGGAAAAACTTTATTAGTCGCACGGAACTAGACCATACGATGTACAAAATGCATGAAGGCGTATCAAGGGGCCATATGCCTGAACAAGTCYTGCGTGACGAGATGGAATACTCCAAATTCACGTATCAAAATCAAGAAATTTGTGAAGACATTTAAAATTAAAAATCACAACCCTCTTACGTTTTAGTTTGGTTTTGATTTGTCGCAGAACTTTAGGTTAACAGCATTTTTAATTCGATACCCGCTCCTTCGTGACCTCAAAGTCATTGTCATGACAATATCTATAAAGTTCAGTTAGRAACGTTTCTCCTCCTCCTTTTTCAGWGCCCAAATCCTTCTCCATATCGACATATTCTTCTACCCATGATTACATCATCTGTGGTGCTGGTTCAGCGGGATGTGTTTTAGCCAATCGTCTGTCAGCTGATCCCAGCAATAGCGTTCTATTGSTGGAGGCAGGGCCAAACGATGCATTTGTTATACCAGTCCAGATGCCTTCTGCTCTTCCTGTGTTATTATCCACTTCAACTTACAATTGGTATTACAACACAGTTCCTCAGAAACATCTGAATAACAGAATAATGTATTGTCCTAGGGGYAGGGTGTTAGGAGGTACATCGTCCATCAATGGAATGGTGTACAACAGAGGGCATGCGTATGACTATGACAGATGGGAACGTGAAGGAGCCAAAGGCTGGTCTTATGCTGACTGTCTGCCATACTTTAAAAAGGCACAGAAACATGAACTAGGTACGCACAGAGCTTGCAAAAATCTCTCTTTGATATATTCTTCAATTAATCAATCAAGCAAGCAAGCAATCAATCAATCAATCAATCAGTCAATCAACAAATGAATGTTGATTATATAATTTTTTGAACAAAAAAAATGAAAAATCAATTTGCAGTATTTTATGCTTTCCCTGC